AAACTTTTTTGCTTTGTTTTCCAAACAAAACCTCTGTATTTACAGGATACTTAAGAAATGTTTGAGATAATGTTCAGTTCACTCCCTCTGGTTTCAGGTAGAACTTGGGTTGTTTTGCAATGAAAGATCTATTTTACACACTATGCCGATGACACCGTCATGTTTGTTGCTGAAGATCTCACTCTTTAATATCCAAAACTGCATTTGAATTTACTAAACTCTTTAAATTTCTAAAGTTAAATTCTTCCCAAAGATGCTTTATTTTGCGTTCTATCCAACAAAAAGCTGTTTCTTACATCGCTACCAATGCTCCTCGTTATTACAGCACTTATGCTAGCAAATAATGCTAATCAGTTATTACAAGTTCTTTATTAAAAAAAAATAAAATAAAAAATAGATCAGAAATGTGCAACTAAAAAGTAACAAAAATCTGGAAATAAGTTTTTATTTGAGTGTAAGCAAGTTTCACATAAAAAAATAAAACGGGGTACAAGAATGGGCTTTAACCATGTTGAGTTTTCTTTTACAGAAACATGAACATTAGCTTAATTGAGTGTTTTAGTGTTGCATGTGTGCAGAACCTGGATTTATATTGCAAATGTAATCAAATCAGTGTAGTTATATTGTGGAAACCTTCAAAGAAATCAACTAAGCTATAAGTAACTCTACTAATGAGCGACTTCCTCACTCTGGCTGATATGGGCGGGGCTAAGAGGACAGAGTAACAGCTGATTCACACAGCTACGAGGAGCGTGATTGGGCAGTGGTCGCTGCCCATCACCTTGTTGCGAATCTTGCTGTCGCACAAGCCGGGGAGCAGAGAAGACGACAGCAGGAAATAGTCCAGCCTCCAGCCGACGTTCTTAGATCGTGCGTTCATCATGTAGGTCCAGAAGGTGTAGGCATTGGCCTGCTCGGGGTACAGCTCACGGAAGCTGTCCACGAAGCCCGCCTCCAGCAGCTGGCTGAAGCCTTCGCGCTCCTCCGGGGTGAATCCCGCGTTCTTCTTGTTGCCCTTCGGGTTCTTCAGGTCGATCTCCTGGTGTGCCACGTTGAGATCTCCGCACAGAACCAGGGGCTTCTGGATGTCCAGCTCGCTGAGGTAAGCTCTGAAGTCGACATCCCAGGTTTTGCGGTAATCTAAGCGGACAAGGCCTCTGCTGGCGTTGGGGACGTAGGCCGTCACCAAATAGAAGTTTGGGAACTCGGCAGTAATGACACGCCCCTCCTTGTCATGCTCCTCTTTGCCTGGAGAATTAGAGACTTTTTTTTTTAGTCTAATGGAAACCTTTAGAAATCTGAATTACCAGTAAAAACCAGAAGTCTAAATTGTGCATTATTTCATCTCTCACCAATTCCATAGGTCACTTTCAGAGGTTCAGTCTTGCACAGCATGGCTACGCCACTGTATCCCTCCTTGTCATCGGACACAGCCCAGTACTTGTGGGGGTACTCTGGCATGGACGTGATCTCAGCAGGAAGGGCTTTCTCTGAGCACTTGGTTTCCTGGAGGCACAGGACGTCTGGGTTCTCCTCACGCACCCACTGGGAAACACAAACAGCTTTTTAGTTTGGAACCGAGGCGCCAATCGAGCGGCTGATTTTTACCGGAGACTCACATCCAGGCCATTCTTTTTCACCCACGCCCTGAGTCCATCCACGTTCCAGGAGGTGATCTTCATGTTGGCGCTTCGTCCGTCTTTGCTCGTCGTTTTATCAGGGGGATCATCGTACAAAATTGGAGCCTCGGGCTCCTTTGTTTTCTTGGCCTTCTTTGTAGAAGCTGAAGGGAGATCAACCAAATCAAAAAGATGTTAGTTAACTTTTTTTTGCTGTTTTAAAGAAATCTTTAGAGGAAAAAAATTATTTTTGAGTGTTTTCGTACCTGATCCGGTATCATTCTCTCCCTCTGCTGCCGCCTCCTCTGTGTTCTTTCCTCTCTTCATACTGGAGCTGGCTCTGTAAGCAAACACGCCTCGCACACACACAGCACGCACACACAGCAGCACCCTCGCCGCTGGAAAAAAAAAAAAAAAGACAATATTAGAGGCATTTAAAAGCAACTTTAAAAAAAAGCAAGAATATGTTTCACCACTAAAGTAATGATGCTCTGTTTCCATCAGAGTGAAATCATTGCATTAGGTGGCAATATCTACATTTCAACCTTAAAATTTGTCCAACTTCCAAACGACAGGAGCCAGAGCCCCAGTAGAACTGGTCCTGGCCTCTTTGCATTTTTAATATTTTTTAAAATAACTGTACGTTATCTTGATCTGTGTATGAAGGTAAGACATTTGCAGATGGAATAAGGTGATTTATGTTTAAAATAATAAACTTATTATTTCATTATCTTGTATTAAGGACCAAAATCGGCCATCCTTTTAGATTGGTTTTTACAGTGTAATACTATATCAGTTAAAAAAAAAATTCAAAAATGAGTAAAAACATTTGTTAAAATGAATGTATTTACCCTTAATCTGGGTAAGTAAATTAAATTATCTGCCAATGGAATTCGTATTTTTAATCTTGAAAATAATATAATTAGAAATTATGTACTTTGAATAAGAGAACTGTTATTTTTTTCTATTTTTAATTGTAAATTGTCTTATTCCATTGGCAAAGTGTCTCATCTGCTCAATTAAAGAAAAATAATTGATTTTAAAATTAATTTAGATTTTAATTTTTTGCAGTGTGTAATGTAACATTTAGAAATGACAGTAGGGCTGCAACAAATGATTATTTTGCAAATCGATTAATCTGTCGATTTTTTTTTTTCGATTAACAATCAGATAGCCAAAGGTTCCTCAAAGAAGATTTTTTTATTACATTAAACCAGCTGAAACTAAAATTCATCCACTTGAGGAGTTCTGGATAGAAAATACTGAGACAAAAACATTTTTTCATCTGAAACGCTAACTTTTATATATATATATTTTACAATTTTGGTACAATCACTGCTCTAAGAGGTTTGCTGAAGACATTTTAAGCTCTCTATACTTAAGTTAAAAATTACTAAATTACTTGATGGTAATTTCAATAATCCATTAATCCAATTAACTTTACTAGGATAGGATCACAGTTGTCTGTTAGATCAGATATTTGCAATCTTGGCTTTGCAGCTTTCTCAATAAACTAAACAATGCGTTATTTTCCTGTTTCTTATTTTTTATTTTGTTCTTTAGAACAACCACTATCCAGAAGCCCCTGCTCCTTTTTCTTCCTTTGTCACCTTCTCCTTCTTTGATGCAACAAGTAAATTTCTCCACTGTGAGATCAATAAAGTCAATCAATTAAATTTCCAATCAGTGAATGCAGCACACAAAAGCATCAAAAAGACTTGGATGTGCATTTAACTAAAAGATTTCCATGTTGAGCAATGTTGGTAAATGGAAAACTGATAATGGAATCTGCACTTTTAATTCCTTAAACCTGACCTCAAATTACAACCATATTAAATTGCATTAAATACAAAGAAAAATACAAATTTGCTGTTTTACTAAAATGTGGCAATAAATTCAGAAACCAATTAGGAAACAGCACCATGATGATGGGATGTTCCTACAGTAGATGTTTCTAATAGTTATGAACTGTGTGCGCATGCTCATTTCTCTAATGAACCTGCTGCACTATCCTGCAAATTGAAAAACCACAGATACCATAAACAGTCATAGTAATCTGTATTTTCACTCTGCTGCAAACCAACATCACATATCCTCTATTAAAGGTAAGGCTGTAATAAACAAAACGAAAAGTGATCCGCTATGCAGGTTTCTGCGAGTACCAACATGTGCTGAGGCTCTAACAAAGGCGGCCTGTGCTAATGAATGACAACATGTCGATCAGCGAGCAAAACAAGCTTCTCATCGAGCTAAACAAATGCAAATATATCCAAGAAATCTTCTCACTTTGGCGCGTTTTAGGTAAAGGATATGCAAATATAATCTTACTCGTACTTTCTTCACAGGATGCAGAGCCTGGACGAGCAGCAGACTTCAGTCACTCCCCCCAAACACAGAGAGAGAACCGGAAACAAAAAAATATGACCATGTGCTGCCTGCCTCCATAGCTGCCTTCCATGTGCCTGAAAATCTACACAAAAATTAAACACGTTCACCCCACGCACAATTAAATACAACCAATACATTTAACCTACTGATTCATAGTATTTAAATTTGTTTTCTAAAATGACTCCGTGATGTGACGGGATTTTTGATAAGGCAAATTTCCCAGCTCCGAATGTTAAAAGAGGTGGAAAGAAGAAAAGAAGAGCAGGGAAGAGGATTTGGGCCACTGAACAAAATAAAACAGGTTTTTTTTATATATATATTATTTCAGTTTAAGTTGGAGTCAGACTTCTGACTTTTTTTCACAGACTTCTGATTTTTTTCCTAAGAATTCTGACTTCAATCTCAGAATTCTGACTTTTTTCTCAGAATTCTGACTTTAATCTCAGAATTTTGGATCTTAATATAGATGGGCACCATGAAGGAAGAGATGTGGGAGCACTCAGCTTAATGGACAAAGATGTGAGTTGTTTGGGAGGGCCAGTAACACATTGGTGGAAAATAAAAGATTTAGGCGACTTTTTACGTGCTCGAGGGGTCCCTAGTGATGTCATTTCATTAAAAGAAGAGTAGAAGGTGATAAAAACAAGAGAGCTGTTTTAGTCTTTAAAAAGACATGGCTAAAGATTGATGCTAACATGTTTGCTAGCTGTCAGAATTCAGTCAGAATTCTGACTGTTGGCATATTATACTGAAATAAAAATTTAAAAATCAGTAAACCATTTTTATTTTTTCAGTGTATAAGGTACAAAAATCAGTATTCGATAGAATCATTCATGAGAGAAGGAAAATAAAAAAATAGAATTTGATGTAAAGTAATGTACTGTACACTCATGTACAGTAGGTGGCGCTATGCAGCTTAAAGTTGCTTGCGATCCGCCATATTAGAAAAGAAGAAGATGCCTCTGCGATGTGAGGGTTTTTTTGATAAGGCAAATTTCCCGGCTCCTAATGTTTGGGTCCTTCCATCTGTCTGTGGAGCAGCTCGGCTGCAGAAGCCAGGATGGAGCTCTAGTGAGGATAAATGTGGTCTAAGGGAGACGAAAAGAAACCGAATAACTCGGTAAATCTTTTCTGCTTTTACTTTTAATGAGATAAAATAATTTTCAGAAGACAGACGAGCTGCTGCCGCTTTGACCAAGGAAGTCGGTGTGTTTCTGTGAAGTCTACAGCTAGCATAAATTGGATAGATTTAACTTTATTTTGATTTATATTGTTTCCATCATGGTGTCTATAAATATATGTTAGTTTTTCCCTATTCTTTGTTTAATTTTAACAAGTTAAACGTATCAAAATTGGGTTCTCGTGATAATATGTATACCCTCATCCGTTTTTTTTTTGTTTTTTTTTAACTGCTTAACATTTACTGACACAAAATGTTTCAGACAAAAGAAAAAAATAAATAACGTGAAATATGAAATTGCAGAGTTTAAATTACTTTTTATCAAGGAGAATTAAAAGATTATGCAAACAAAAGGGAAGGAAAATTAAATAAAATTACTGAATAATTCAGTTTAATCTCAATTAAAAGCAATTAAATGAGTCAATGGAGGCTGTAGGGCTTAAAAACCTATTATCCCTTCTTTTCCTTCCAATTCTTATAACTGGTTTTATTAGTTATTAGCCCTAAGAGGCTTTTGAAGAGTAATTTTGAACTCAAAATTACTCTGCACCCATAATTCATCCAGGAGGTCATAGGAGAACACAGAAAACATTGAAGGTCTTACATGCGTTTAAAAAAAACACTGTTTATTGCTCAACAATAAAACAGAGACTTTGCATTAAAAGGCATCCATGGGGTTTATGCTTACAGTGCAATATTTTCCAGTTACAGCTGTTTTTGTCCCTGTTCTCTGTCTTTAGCTGCCATGACTGTTGTTATTGGATTTGAAGGAAGTGCCAACAAAATTGGCATCGGCATCATAAGGGATGGTGAAGTGCTGTCCAACCCGAGGCGGACCTACATTACACCGCCAGGCCAAGGTGAGCCGACTTAATCTCCTTTCCTTCCCTTGTCCACATTTGGAGGTTAAAAAAAGAAAATCAGACAGTACTTAATTCTTTCCAGGTTTCATGCCGAGTGACACAGCCAGGCATCATCGTGCAGTAATACTGACTGTCCTGAAGGAGGCGCTGGAGCAAGCAGGCCTGAAGCCTGCAGACATCGACTGCGTGGCGTACACTAAAGGTCATAAAAACCAGAGAGTCACTCAAAGAAGATGGTGATTTAGAAACGTTAAACATTTGTCGTCGTTTTGATTTAGATGGATATTTATGCAACAATTTAAGGAGGGGATGAAAAAAACAGGTGAACGTTTTATAGAGATATATGTTGTTCTAGCTCTTTGGGTGGGTTTGATTTCAGAGGCTGCGTCCTTCAAAGACCCAGTTTACCAGGACCGGATCCTTTTAGGTCTGTGAAAATGAGGAGACTGGAAGAGCTTCATCTGTGGAATCAAACAGGTCTAGCCTTCCGCAGCTTTCACCGCCTGCACGTTCTGTCGCCTAGCAACCTTGACAGTTGACACACAAAACAGAAAAAGAATGAATACCAAACTTCTCACTGCTCTTTCTTTTTATTTATTTACTTGTTTATTAAACATTTTAAAGGAGCTACAGCAGCAGTACTGTATCAGATTTATAGTCCCCACACTGCTGATATGTTGGAATTTGAGCTTAAATGAAAACCAAACACATTTACACAGAAACAGATAAAACCCTTAGATAAACCAAACATTACCGCCACATATCTGACTCAGTAACCATTAAAACAACTATTTTCATTCATTTCAGACGGAACTATTCACATAGTTGTATTATATTAACCTGCACTTACAATATTCACCACTGTTTGGCGCCATTTTCCTTTTTCCTCTGAGCACGGATCAGCCGGCTTGCTTGGACTCGCAGTGAATCATGGGATACCGAAGACTACTTAGGATACACCGGACCCATCCTTTAAAACGGGCAAAAAGAAGGCTGCATGTGTCGGTTGCATGACGAGGAGTCTTTCAATCCGAACAGACCTTGGCGGCGCGCTATGACTTAATCGGCCTTCGGAGGACGCAGCCCCTGAATTCGTACTCAGCATCTGAATGGTATATCAGCCTATTGATAAGCCCCTCCCCCTTCTTGCCCTGTCCTTCAGGCCCAGGTATGGGAGCCCCATTGGTAACTGTCGCCCTCGTAGCTCGGACAGTCGCTCAGCTGTGGGGGAAGCCCCTCCTGGGAGTCAACCACTGCATCGGCCACATCGAGATGGGCCGGCTCATCACCAAAGCCAACAACCCCACCGTGCTGTATGTCAGCGGCGGGAACACCCAGGTGAGTGTCTCTCTTTGCTGGTTCCTAGCTGCACGTCTGGAATTTTATTTCAATGATTTTACAGATCTGGAGAGTGTTGAAGGATTCTTATTTCCAAACTTAAAATACCTCTGATGTTCTTCACTTTGTGGTTGCAGGTTATCGCCTACTTGGAGCGGCGGTACAGAATATTCGGGGAGACAATTGACATCGCAGTGGGCAACTGTTTGGACCGGTTTGCCAGAGTTATCAAGGTTGGTTTTGGTTGACATCAGCTGGGCTGATTTTCCTAGTCATTCATGCTAACGCTCCATGGTGGATCCCCTCGTAGATTTCCAATGATCCCAGCCCAGGATACAACATCGAGCAGATGGCCAAAAAGTGAGTAGAAACGCATCCATCTGGTTTGTCACACCGTGAACCGCATGGAAACGATTCTGTGCTTTTTCTTCCAGAGGAACTCGTTATGTGCAGCTGCCGTACACAGTAAAGGGAATGGATGTTTCTTTTTCAGGGATTCTGTCCTTTATTGAGGTTAGTTGCTCGTCTCTGGGGCATTTCAGTTGGTTCTCACATTTTCTCACATCCAGATGTTTTTTTAAGTTGCTCTGGCTTTACTATGGTAGCTTAAATCAAGTTGATTGGCTTCAGAAAAACCAATTAAATTAATAATGAAGAGCAAAGAAACAGGATCCAAACCTTTGAAGGCTAAGTCCAGACCAATGTATGAATATGGAAAACAAAAATGAAAAGAGGAAAGAAGAATATGGAGGTTTTTATATCAATAGAAATTCTTGTTTAAAGCAAAGAACAATCCAGTTCAAAAAAACTTTGAAGAAAAAATTTTTTGTCCAAGATAATTTTTTGAACTTTTTTTTCTTCATTTTTTTATACGTTTTACATTTTATTAGTTAATTTATTCCATATATTTTTTTAATATTTTGTACAGATTAAAGTTTTAAAAAATGTATATATATGTTAAAATTTAGTTTTTAAACATTTTCATACAGATTTTATATTTTTAAATGTTTACATTTTCTCTTTTCTTTTTTCAGATTGATTTTTTTACGAATTGCGTTCTTTTCAAAATGTATCTTATTGATCAAATTGGGGCTAATAGATTTTGCCAAAAAATCACAATTGCGATTATTTTTAACTAAAATGGAGATTTTTACTTCACTAACCTTTCAGCTTGCGGATGTTTCACCTCCAGGCTTTCAGTTTTTGAGAGCTTGCTCACCCAGACTTCATTGTTGCAGGACTTTACTGTAATGTTTACCTGAAAAAGTCTTTACTTTTACTCCCATGCATGAATCTGCATGCTGGCTGCAACTCTCTCCACCTTTCTGAATGACGACAAACCTACTTCAAGCATTTTGCCACCAAACAAAAGGGCTGGAGCGTGAAAATTAGTGCCACACTGTTGTTAAACACAGTGTTATTAAAAATGTGTGTCTCTGTGATTTAAAAATAGTGTTTTGTTAAATTGTGATTGTTTTGCAAATGCAGTTTGTGAGCTTTCCTCCACAGTGGAAACATGTTTTTATTAGTCTGCATAAATGTAAGCAACAACATTCTAGAACAGAAGTGAAGAGATCAGGATCTGTGGAAACGCAATCCATAAAACTTAATTTGAAAAACTAAAAATTAGAAAATATATCTGTACAGTAAAAGAATAAAAATGATTTGAAATGATAAAATATGTTAAATTACATTTTGAAAAGAATGAACTAAAACAACTTTGAAATGAAGCAATCTGTAAAACAAAATGTTTTGGAAAAAAAATTTGAAAAGATTCAAATGTAAATAAAAATAATTTGGAAAAACAGATTATTTGAAACAAAAGTTTAGGGGGAAAAAAGGAAAGTTTTTTTTAGTGTGTCATTTTTGGATTGCTTAATATTTATTTATTTTTCTAATTTCAATTTACCAAATGTCTTATTTGCAACAATAATTGAACAAATTAACTCCATACTAATCAATCAGCCAATCTGATCTGAATGCCTGAACAAAGTGATCCGATCAAAGAAGGAACCAACGGGCTAATAGTGACTAACGTAAACTCTTTAAAAGACTATTAGAAAAGAATATTATTTATTATGTATTTAATCAAGATTGTCTGAAAGAAAAAATGCCCAAAGAAAAACAATCCTGTTAACATTTTCCCACAGAAACCATGGAAACAGGTCCTCCGATCATTTGAGACATTAAATCGGAAAATCAACAATGGAAACGCAATATCCCAATAATGGAGCATGATGGTGGCAGTATCATGCTGTGGTTATGCTGTTTTTCAGCACAAAACAAGAAGCTGATGAGGGTTGATTAGAATAAACAAGGTTGATAATGAATACAGACTAATCCAGATGTGTTAATATGAATGCTGGCGGGTAGAGTTTTAGACGAGGAAAGCTTGTGGAGATTCAAGCTTCTACTGAGCTTTTGTTTTTCTATTGCTCAGCACAACTCGGTATGAGGCTCCACTTTGTGTTGCTCTGTCCCATAAAATACAGCTTTCAGAGATAGGAAGGAGGATGTGAGGAAAGGAATGAAGGGTAGAAGGAAGGAAAGAAGTTTTTCCCTTTACCCAGACCTGATAAATGCATTTATTTATTTAAACTAACTACTGTAAGAACAGCAAACTAAGAGTCAGATAAGCTGAGTGATAACCGAGAAGAACAAAATGACATGAAAATTAAAACAAATTTTGTCCCTGAAACCTTTCTTTCGCCTTGCGGCTGCTCCATATTTCTTAATGAAGTTGATGTTAAACCGCAAAAAGATCAGAGTTTTTTTAGCAGATGAATTGCCAATGTGCTTATAAACAGTTTAGGATGTCAGTCAGTTCCTAACAGCTCCCTTATTCATCATGTGACTGACTTGAAAACATACACACATTGGCACATCACTCCGGCGCATCACTAGCAGGAAGCCTGTTTGCAACTGTTTGGTCTCACGAGTCTAATATCTGTTTTCTGCTGACAGGAAGCTGCTCATAAAATGCTGGCCTCCGGTCAGTGCACAGCAGAGGACCTGTGCTTCTCCCTGCAGGTACTCTGACCGGCTGGTGTCGCTCCTTACTTAGTCTGTTAGTGATCAAATATGAGGATATTTCCTTTCATATCAGACGGTGACCTGCAGCACCTCCCTCTAACTCTGCAGGAGACTGTGTTCGCCATGCTGGTGGAGACCACAGAGAGGGCCATGGCGCACTGTGGCTCCCAGGAGGTCCTCATTGTTGGGGGGGTTGGCTGTAAGTACACAGCTTTCTGCTGAACATCAATATATTCCACTTTAATTTCTTTGAAGTTTGACTAAAAGCGAACAGAATTAGAATTGGACTGAGGTCTTACCCCCAGATTTCACAGACTCCGTCAGTAATAATGGATTGGTAACTACAAATTAGAGCATAATTCTTAGAAATTCTCCAAAACTAAGACGGTTTAAATAAATTATTGGATGGAAGCTACCAGTATTTCAACATACCAGGAAGCAGATTTCTCATCTCCATCAAAATATTTATTTTATACCAAGAGGCTTAAAAGTTTCATCCAATCCACTCAAAACGCCCAAAAGCGCCTCTGACAACTTTAACAGTGGAAGAGGCTGTAGGCTTTGCTTTGTGCAGGCAGCCTTAGAACACAGCAGGGCAGTGATGGAGGATGTGGGATTTCAGGGTTAAAGCCTAGTTAAGTACCTAGTTTACTACATAGGCCGCCAACATTTTCATTTTAAAATGCTTGTCACATTTATCAGTAAACCAAGAGTTATTGAAAGAAAATATTCTGTTGATAGTCAATTTAAACACCGTGTTTTATTTAATACAAATTCGGTCAGGAATGAGGGGTTTTAAAACCAAAACAAATGATTGCTATACTTGTTCCATTTGGACGGGTTTGTATTGAGATTTTTCTGAAAGCCTTATTCAAACCATTTTCATCATAACTCCACAGGTAACCTACGTCTGCAGGAGATGATGGGGGTGATGTGCAAGGAGAGAGGAGCCAAGCTGTTTGCCACAGATGAGCGGTAAATGTAACACAGACATGGCATTCGTCATTTCCTTCATCATATTCCCAACATGGTTTCAGTTAGCTTGCTTATATGTAACCAAAAGCAGATATGAACCACACTGTCTGGAGCTGTTGCTAAATTCTCCTTTAAACCTCCTGTTTCCCAGGTTCTGCATAGACAACGGAGCGATGATCGCTCAGGCGGGCTGGGAGATGTTCCGGACGGGTCAGGTCACAGAGCTGGAGGACTCCTGGATCACTCAGAGGTAACCTCAGCGGTTGATGGTCAGACTTTATTTCTGTTGGCCAAATATCCACCTGATGTTGGTGTGTTGATGGCTGCTGCAGGTACAGAACTGATGAGGTGGAGGTGACCTGGAGAGACTGAGTGGACGATTCTGGAAGAACTATTTTGTTTACTCTGCTTCAAAAGGACTAATGTTCTATATTTTTGTAAACCTTAAATTGAATCCTGAAAATCTGTTTAAATAAAAAAACAACTCCAACTTTCAAAGTTTATTTCTTTTTATTAAGCAATACTTTCTTCTATCCCTCCTTTATCTCCAGTGTAATTTTTGCTTTAATTCAAATAATTTTCAAAAACCTGCCACACGGAACATGGCGACATCCCTTATGGATTCAAACATTCACCCAAAAAAACAAAACAGCATTAAGATCCGTAGGGTCAAAGGTGAACTCTACCGTGCCTTTGACTACACCCCTCTGTAAACTGAAGACAGGATACTGATAGCGCCCTGCATTCATCAACAATAAAACTCAAGTAGGTACAGGACATTCTTCTGGTTTAGAATTGAAAACAGGGAAATACAAAATTCACCGAGGGCTTCTCGTGCACGACGACTGGTCAGTTTTAAACAAAGTGCTTGATTGACCACTCGCTCTGCAGAGGACGACGTTTAATAAAACCGCAGCTTTCAGGAAAAAAAAAAAAAAAAAAACTTTTTTTTTTTTAAATTAGACTCCTTAGAGATTATTAAAAGGAAAAGAAGTGGAGAGAAAGACCAGCTTTACAGGAAGAAGCTAAAATGGGAATGAGGTGATTATTTAAGGCAGGCTTTCTGTAAGGCGTTAAAAAAAAACAAAAAAAAAACAGTTCATTGCGGTAAGATCTCAAAGGAGTTAGTCCAAAGTGTCTCAGTGTGGCTTTGTGTGAAGACATCAACAAGGCATCATCCTGAGTGCAGCTTGTGAACGGGACTCAAATTCGTCCATGTTTCGTCAGTAATAAACGCGTGAAGGTGTGTTTTTCTGTTTGCTTTTGATGCTCCACGTCAGTCGCGCTGCTAAGCCGGGCGCTCCTGGGTCTCCTTATACCAAACCACTCTTTTTGGATCTGGATGAAAAAAAAAAAAAAAGATTAATTTTTGAAAGAAATCTGCAGAGCTTTAGATGTAATAAAAAGGGAAAACAGCAGAAATGGAATCCATCTAAATCCATTCTGACCAGTTTATGACAATGTGTTTTCATTAAAAACCGGTTTGATTTTACAGGTTGACTTTAACTGTAAATAAAAAGGGAAAAACATGGCTCTTATATCAAACCCAAAAGAGATCAATCTTTAAATTAAGTTTTAAAAATAAAATAGACCTAAATAAGTCGAAAAAACTTTAATAAGAAACTTATTTCTCTACAAATTGTGTGATTAGCTCTCACAAAGAATAAAGACCAGTGCTGGGCTCATTAAATCAGTTTGCCCGTTTAAAAATACAGAAATAAAATCGTACTGCTCACCTTTCTTCTGTCTGTTACAGATAGTATTCCATTCTAGAGAAAAAGGAAGAAAAAAAAGAAAAGTTACCGAACCATTCCTGTTTTGCAACTCCACCATTCACACAGTTCTTACACCACCCACCTCTATTGTGATAGTTCAAAGCCTCCACTAGGTGGCGACAGCTAAGCAGGAGGTCCCCGCTGGCCTCCTCTACCTCTGCACATCTGATTGCATCAAAGACTGGGACAGGGTTTTCTTTTGGCGGCTGAACTGTGAGGGCGCCGTCATGCTGTAGGTGTTTGTCATCTGTGCCTATTAGAGGGTTAGTAGCAGGAAGAGGGAGGGGGCTATCTGTGATTGCCTTAACTTCACTTAGAAAACTTAAACCCCACTGGTTCTGCAGCAGGTCGCCGATGGCGGGCCGGTCCTCCTCCAGCGTTCCGCCTGTTGCTCCTGACTTCACCTTGGAAGCGTAGCTGACAGCAGGCTGCAGCTTGGCAGGGCTGTCCTGCACAGGGAAAGCAGGTGGGGGCTTGAGCAGCGACAAACTGTCCTCCACCCACTTCTCCTTCTGGTTAACCCTTTGTGGCCTCTCGCCGGGACGAGCAGCACCCTTCTGACTCTCCCTCCTGATGGGGCGGCCTTTGTGCGGCTGGTTTTTACGCTCCTTCTCCCTGCGGAAGCTGGGGCTGTGACGGTGGCCGTTGGCGTCCTCCTGAGGCGGACGCTGTCGTGGATTCTGGGCGCTTCCCGAGATGCAGCCCCCTCCGCCTCCACCGCAGTTGCCGGAACCAGGAGACAGGCGACGGTTACGGATCTGGGGTTCGGACTTGGTGGCTGACACGAGGACTGCTTGCTCACACAGAGTTTCTGACTCACACACAGTGTTGCTTGCTTCCCATGTACCTGAAATCAAACAAGGTTGAAATGATGCAATAACTTCAGATAAAAGCCAATTTAATTTACCAAAAAAATTTACACTTTAAGGTCTTTAAACACAGCCCATAGGATTCACCATTAAGATCTAAAGGCATTCAATAAAATTATTTAAGCACCTGCCAAACATCACAAAGCTTCTCAAATCTGATCAAGGAAATACAAAACACATTTTTATCTACAAGTAATTCAACACTGTTTAATAAAATCATTTTAGTTATCAAATGGCTAAAAATGTGCAGCAAAGAAAAATAGACCGGAGGCCATTCCTATGTGGAAATGGAAATCCAGAGGAGAGAAAAAAAGGCAGATGCCTGTGGGTGGTGGGGTTAAATGTTTTCAAGAAACTTTACAGTAAAAGTCTAGTTGAAACTCGCAGAGCTCCATTTTCTGCCTGTTTACCTTATGCAGAAGAAACAGCTTCCCTGGAGAAGAATTAAACTGAACCACTTATAGCAATAAATAAAATAAAAATAAAAAACTTAAAAGTTAGCATACCAAAGGAATTAAAAATACTTGATGTTTCAAGGTATCACTTGATGTTTAAAGGTAAGGAAAACTAAAAGAAGTATTTGCTTTACTTTGGGTGCTACACAGAAATTGAGGACATTTTTCTGGTGATGAAAAATAGAAAAAAAAAAAACAAAAACAAAAAAACTTTAGTTGGATATAAAACTTGAAAATGGTCAAACAGCGTCCTATCGTTTGGTCTTCCAAAAGTCCAAACCAAAGAGAAGACACAAACCTTGTTCTCAGCTCAACTTGTAACTAGTACTGCAACTAACTTATTTCCAAGTCGATTCATCTGTTGATTTTTTTGATTGACAAATCAAAAAGCAAAACGTTCCTTAAAGAAGACACTAAAGAACTGAATAAAGTATTTTTTTATGCAAAAAGTTGACTTTTTTTTTACACAAATTGGGTATAATTACCGCTCTAAGTGAGTCTAAACTCCAGTTAACTATTAATCGATTACTAAATTAGTTGACATCTGACCAATTATCTCAGCTTTATTTGTAACCCTGTTAAATTAATGCAGCCTCTCAAATAGGCCTTGGTTATTTTGTCCATGAATTTATCTATTTTTTTTCAACCAATCGATTAATAATTGGATAGCAAGAGCTTCCTTTCAGAAACTATGTTACAGAATTAAATCAGGTGAAACTAAAACTTCTAAACAGTTCTGGACAGAGCAGATTGACAGGATGAAAGTTTCCTTTATACATCAAATGTAAAATGTTTATTTTTTTAATACATTTTGGTAGAATTAATGCTCTAAATCTACAACCTGTCATCTAAAATCATGTTTAAAAGTCTATACTCTGCTGAACAATTAATCGATTTATTAATTGATAATTATTTCAATAAATAATTGATTATTCAGTCGCACTCTCAAACACCATGCAAGGCAGATAGGATTAATGCTGTATCAATAATCAAACACTGTATCTGGATACAATCCTAATTTCATATGCTATCATTACTATCATCACTAAAAATCAAGGATTTTTTTTGCATGTTTTCGCCATTACAGTGGAATCATCTTATAGTGCTCACGGATATATTAATCAACCGCTTATAGCGAGCAAAAGGCTTGGGACCCAACCATTCCTATACAAAGGCTGTTTAAATAATTTGTTTATGGTAGTCAAGAAATCCTCTTATAGTGTTCATTTTTAGCCATTTGATGAATGTAAACATGCAAAAATAATTAATAAGTGGATCGAAAGTGATGACAGCACTCCGGTGTCAGAGCCCGTAACGGACGAGCTCATCATCTCAGAGGTACAAGAGCGCTTTGGTGCGGGTACCAGTGCTGCGCGCAGCGAGGAGGATGAAGATGTAGTGACTGTTGTTCCTCCCAGAGCTGAGATGAGGAATGCAGTTTCCATTTTAAAGACTGGTCTCCTGCACGTTTGTTTCAAAAACTTTGACATCATTCAAAAGAAGCGAACTCTGTGTTGGACAACACTCTGATCCAAGGAACCATGGATAAATATGTCCAGTGATTTCTTAATGCAGCACAGCAGATCCGCAACACAAAACAGACGTAGGCTATAGATCAAATTTTCTGTAGCCTATGCAGGTATCTCCTATGAACCCATTTTTTTATGCAAACTTCAGACTTGGTTAGAGCAGTGCATTTGTGCTCTGAGAAGCCCCTTAACCCCACACTGCTCCCTGGGCGCCACACAATGAGAGCCCACTGCTCCCTCAGATTGAAATTCCCCATTGTGGGAAAATAAAGGAATTAACATGAAACTTTTGTATCATGTCAACAGTTTTTAATGTAAGTTGGGGGAGGTGGTAACCTGGTTACATAAAGAGTCTGGGTTGATTAAACTGACTTTAACTAGTTATAAAGTCAACCTACAGTCCTTAATCATAAGTTAAACTACCTTTTATAAGTCATAAGGCAACAAACCTCACAAAATTAAGCTTTGGAAAATTTAACCCGTTATTTAAGTCCCAAATTGTCCATCTCCATCTAAACTAATGTAGGGGGGGGGAAGATGAATCGTCGTATAAAATGTTTACTAGGAGAGAAACACCTTAACTGCTTAACAGCCACGTTCGTCCCACGTGACTCAAAAATACGCTGACGTCATTTAGTAGTGATTTTCGTTGTAAATGAGACACAAACAGTTATTAGCTTAACTTGAAAACGTAGTTAATTAACTGAGAAGTACTATTATGAAAGCCTGCTAGGTGAACCACACCAACCGGCGCCACAGTTTATACAACTCACCCCCCCTCCCTCCTCCTCCCGTCCGACACGTAGAAGAAATTTCGAGAAAAATGAAACCCAAGTTCTAGTATCTTCTAGAAAAAGTCACAACTTGCTTCCTTTAGAGGATTAAGCTCGATGAACAGCGACACGTTGTGAGCCATAAGCTGTTAAGCTAACTTTAGCTAAAGCTGTTAGCTAGCACCGGCGTTAGCTAACTCATTAGTAACGTCTAAACTCGGTTAATAACCTAGTGTTGGAATTAAACTTCAGAAATGTTGGCTATATATTGCGATACAGAAACACATACAGATGTTACAATATTTAATGACCTAATTTAGGGTTTAAGGGCTAGTAGCCGCGCTATGCGAAGTCAAAGTTTCGTAACCCCCTCCCCTCCTCCAGCCTCCATTCAAAGCGGGTGACCAGGCTGCCTTCGGTATCGCTAGCCTCTGATGCTACCTCCGCGGCAAGATAACTAAAAAAAAACACTTCTGAAAGTTAACGCACACCACGTCGTGTATTAAACTGTGGTACAAACTCACCGGTTTTGATATGCATGTCTTTTTCGTTCACGTGTCGTTGAAGTCAACCCGTTAGGCAACTTTTTGTTTACAAGGTTGATTATAACGACGGCTGGCTCGGCTGAAAGTGTAACCACCACCCGGAAACCGACACGGGATATACGAACTGAGGCCGGAAGTCCCTCCAAGTAAAGCGGTCCGGCGGGAAACTTGGAGGGAAATTTTAAATTTTCAAAATGCTAAACGCTCCCCCTGGTGTAAAAAAAAAAGTGTAATAAACACGTGGTGGAAGTGAACAGCATGCTGCACACTAGAAAATAAGAAAATAACGTGACACCGAAAATGGAGTAATTTATGTTTTGTGTAATAAATATATAAGAAAACCCAAATTCTACAAAAAACATTTACTTGATAAATAAAACACTATAGATTACTGAATTCCTGCTTATATTTTATATTCTTTTTATATATATTTTCTAACTTAACTTCAAATTGTCACTTAAAAAAAAAGTACTTTTGCATCTGAGCACATTTTTATTGTTTACAATAGTAAACGATAAAGGGAGCTGGTGATACAGGCCGTCTGCTCCTCGCTGGCGCTCCATGACATGGATCTGTATAAGAAAGGTTAGATCAGACTCTTGCTGCTGAGGGGACTGGGGTCTGTTGGAGTGCAGGGGGCACTACTAAAGACCTATGACTGTTGTGGCAGCATCCATCTTCTATTGAGCTGTCTGTTGGAGCAGTGGCTTTGTATCTGTAGCTGTGAGAAAGCAGCTGGATAAGCTGATCAGGATCTGTGATTGGATGCCCTCTGGAGTCCGGGCAGGAGGTGGGAAACAAAAGGACCCTAACTCAATTAACTTCTCTGTTGGATAATGTCTCCAACCCCATGCATGAAGCTGTTCAGAACTGGAGAGCTCCTTCAGTGACAGACTGCTGCACCCTAAATGCACCAGGGAGCGTTATCACAGATCCTTCCTCCCAGCAGCTCCAAGACTTTAAAACCACCACTGTTCCCAACAACTTCAACAAGTTGTTCCATTCATGCTAGTTTTGCACAGTTTCTATCTTAGTCAGTTAAATAACATGCTGGATCATTTTGCATATCTCTGATGTTTCCACTATTTTCAAATATCCATTACTGTAAAAATGTCCATAGCTTTATATTGGTTATTTATTCTCCAGGGGCACAGTTTTATATTGATAAAACACTTTACGGTATTTTATTATCTTTCAACTCTTCATTAGTATGTTATTCTTATGCATTATTCTAAGGTCCACATTTGTGGAGAATTTTTTCTATAATCTTTTTGCTGCTTTAAACACAAGAATTTCTTCATTGTGGGACAATAAAGCGATGCTTTATTCTATTATATTCCATTCTAGTAAACAATCAAATTAACAGAGCTGTCTTTAATAGCTTCTATATTTTCTCCACTCATATGCTCCTAAATTGGTGGTATAAAAGTGAGACAGAACTTTCTGTTTTTGCAGATGTTTGTGAAATTAGCAGCATAAAACAAATGCTAACTTTTAAGTGGAATTTTCCTGAAATATCTCCCACCTTCTGCTTTACAAATATTTTAACAAATAGGTCTAAATTGGTGACCGAACACCAAATAAGCAGGATACATCATTTAGATAGTGGGTGGTGTATAAAGTCAGGGAGCCCAATACTAATTCAGACTTTTCCACTGGCTCTCCATACAATCAACAAGAACCAGCAGATCTAAAAGGTTTGGATACTTTAGAAATTAATGGATTTTAGCAAACAATCAGTGTTTCTATAACAGATTTAGTAAAAGGACCCATGTTTGTTTTGTTGGGGCAAAGAAAAAAAAAAAAAACAACACTACCATAAAGCATAATTTAGTTTATGCTGTAAGCTACAAAGCTATATCAGACTGGATCCAACAGATGAAAACTGGGATCCTATATAATCCGTCTGAAGCTTAAAGTAACACAGCTCAGTTTCTAAATAACTTAACTGTAAAGGTAAATCAAATGATTGTTTAGCAGAACTGCTAAGAAAAATAAATGGAAGACGTTTGTTAAAATTATTTATTTAATAAATAATTCACTTGTCCTATGTTACATCTGTAGTCCATAAATATAATTAAATTCGACCCAAAGCAAGGTTTTAAATATTTTTAATCAATACAGAATAAACAGAACCGTAGATTTAATCAAATTTGGCTTCACAAAGTTAAACAATTCAGTCAAGGACTGAGAGACTGAACGTCCGCGGACTTTTCCGCATGCGTCTGCATGTGTTTCTTCAGCTTTGACGGCGTAGAGAAGCGTCTCTCACAGACGAGGCAGCGATGTGGCTTGTCTCCGGTGTGTGTTCGGACGTGCATGTTGAGGTCGGAGGAGCACCTGAACCTCTTCTCGCAGTGGGAGCATGAGTAGGGCCTTTCTCCCGTGTGGGTACGCTGGTGGAGGAGCAGCTCACCAGAGGTGATGAAGGCTTTGCTACAATGCTGGCAGCGATGAGGTCGCTCGCCGGTGTGAATAAGATTGTGGCGTAGGAGCGAGTTTGACTTGGAAAACCTCTTCCCACAGCGGAGGCATGAAAATGGCCGCTCGCCTGTGTGGCTGTGGAGGTGCTTTATTTGGGCGCGCTTTGATTTAAAGCTCTTCTGGCACTGATGGCAGCTGAAGGGTCGAAGGCTGCTGTGGCTTCGCTGGTGTCTCGCCAGCTCTCCATTGGTGAGGAACGTCTTCTCACAGGTGGTGCAGAGAAACGGCCTCTCGCCTGTGTGGTTTCTCTCGTGGCGTATAAGGCTAGCCAGCTGGGTAAAGGTCTTTTCGCAGGCCGAGCAGCGGAACGGCCGCCTGCCGCCGTGAGTGAGCCGGTGTCTTTTGAGGATCTGGAGGTCTGTGAAAGTCTCGCCGCACTCTCCGCAGAGGAACGGCCGCTCCCTGCCGTGAATCCGTCGGTGCTTGTTCAAAAGCCACATGTGGGTGAAGCTCTTCCCGCACTCGCAGGCGAACGGGCGCGCACCCTCGTGTTTCATCTGGTGCCTCTTCAGGTCCGACGCTCGGGTGTAGGTCTTCTCGCAGTGGGGGCATCGGTACTGGCGCCTCACCACGTGTCTCTGCCTGTGCTTCATTCGTTTCAGGATGCTGCCGAACATCTCGCCACATATCTGGCACTTGTACTCCCCGCCTTCTTTGTCCACGGTCTCATCGGCAACCACCACCTCCGTTGTTAAGTCCAGAGGAGGGCTGCACATCTGGCTGCATGCGGTCCGTTCGAAATGTAATTTGAGTAACCCCATCTGGGTGAAGCGTTTGCCGCACTGGGAGCAGAGGAAGGGACGCTCTCCGGTGTGGATGCGTTGATGTCTCACCAGATCCCAGGAGTTCTTAAAGGCCTTAGTGCATTCCTCACAGGCGTACGGCCGCTCACCTGTGTGGGTGCGCCGATGACGGGTCACATCCGACGTCCTTGTGAATGTCTTGCCGCAGTCCGGGCATGTATGGGGGTCCGGTCTGTCGTGGATGGGGAAGGGTTGAGGGAATTTGGGAGGTGGGGGCTTCTTTGCAGCCGAATGAAGTTTGTCTTTCTGCTCAGGGTGACTGCGCTCCATGTGCTGCAGCAGATACGCCTCCTGCATGTGGGAAAACGGACACACGGAGCAGGCAAAGACCTGGGTGGATATCTCAACCGTTGAACCTGCACAGAGCACAGAAAAACAGCTGATTTGGCACTAAGACAAACATTTATATCATACATCGATCATCCAGTGCTCTTTTTATTTACTTTATGGCCTAACAAGGATCTAAAAACATAAACATGATGGTATGCACTCATGAAAGTAGCAGTTTTCTTTCCAAAAACATAATTATATTGAATAAATTTAACAGCAAGATGATCAAACGCATAATAATTCAACATCATGTATTAGATTCAACTCAAATAAAATATTTTTATGGCTAAAATCAATTAAATTAGCAGAATGATTTCTTTGAAAGAGAGGTGGCGCTGCATTAGCTCCAAAGAAAAGCCCTCAGCCATTAGACACCTATTCAGAGATGAAAGAGCAGTTTTTTTCCTGGATCTTATAAGTGCAGAGCTTCCTCTATATCAGAAGGAAGTGAGTTTAAGTATATTTTCTAGTTGGTAGAAGAAAGAGAAAGGAACTCCCCAGATCTGAACGGCATCAGTTTGTTAAAAACCGATAAAAAAAAGCTGACGACATGGGATCAAATCTGGACCATTTTTTATTCAAGATTTGATCAAGCATGACAAGATATCACACCGGCCACATAAACTCCATATATTCACCCCTTAAAAAACTATAAAATGATAAATTTTGGAGTATAAAACTGTAAAAGAAAGTAGAGACTAAAACTCTTGATATAAATAATAACAAATTAATGATTGTTTTTAATTTAAAAATCTGCCATATCAAATTCTGTAAGTTTAAATCCTGTGTTCATATTTAGAGGCTTAAAGGTCAAATCGTGACTTTGAATGCAACTATTATAAAAGATTTATAGTATTTCCAGTAAAACCAATAATGTGGCCTAGAGAGGAAGATTCAGTTGATTTCTAACCAATAAGTTCACCAGAAAGAAAGAAGATTTAAGAACCTATTTTGACACCTATTGAAAAAATAACATGTCTACCTGGGATGCTGAGCGCCTGGAGGCTTCTGTGGTGCTGCAGGAGAACCCTCAGGTCATCTGGGTTGGAGAGTGTCTGCATGCAGTCCTTCAGTATAGAGGGTCCAGACGTCAGCCAGGAAGCGGCCTGTTTAGTAGAGAAAGTTTCCTTCCCTTTCAGAACGAGGTGACAGCAGCCTGATGGTTGTTTCTTTTTTTATGTTTTAACTAAATGGATTCCTTTTTTTTAATCTTATAAATAAAAATAAATCATCAGCTGCTGTGAGGGTGGCCCTTACCTGACCCAGGTCTGGTACTGCTAGGAGTCTTTCTAATTTAGAAAGAAATTCCCACGCCAGAAGCTGCATGTCTGCATCATAGCTGAGATCAAATTCTGCTGGAAAAACCTCCTGGAAGGACAGAAATGAATGGATTCAGCTGAGTGTTTCTGCGACATTCAGTAAACTTCTAGATCAGAGCCTCTGTTTAGCCATGTCTCTAGTTCAAACATTAGACTGTCTCATAGAAAGTACCCCTGACACAATGTCTTGTCTTTAGCTTTATGTTTCTCATAGCTGTCGTTAGCTTTTTTTTACTCTTTTTGCTTCTCTGTCCATAGAAAGTCCTCTGGGTCCAGGTCCAGTGATTTTAGTTTAGCCGTGTCTCTTTTTTGGGTAGAGTTACACACATAGATATTACTGCTATGTAGTTTAAATAGACTCTGAATACTTTATTTATTGTAATCTATTAGATTGCAACTATTAATACTCTTTTGGTTTTACCAAAAAGTGCCCCCATGATTAAATTGTTTGCTTCATGTCTTTCTGAAAGGAGCCGTTGGTGGAGCTTTAGCTTTTGTAGAATTTCTTTATTTGTTTTTTTGTTCTCTTTGATTCTGTAGAAAGTTCCCCTTGGCAGGCAGAGTTAGTGACAGTTATCCCTCTTATCCTGCTCCAGTTCCTATCTGCTTTTTGTTTTGATCCAATCAGTTCTAAGATGCACTTAAAACCAGCCGGCATGTTAAATCATGAAGTGTTCCTCGCCTGGTAGAAGTGCTCCCTCTCTGCTGGATCGTTTAATAGTGTTTGGATAAGTTCGACAAATATAGCCTCCTCTGCATCCACCTCTGCATCTCCACTCTGCAGAAAAGAACACAAGGATGAGTAAATTAGCTAATCTTATCAGGGCTTACTTCCCCCAGTGACTTACTCCTGAGGATCCCTGTGGTCGAATTCGTTCAAGCTAAGGTTGCACGTGCAATGCGTGGGCTGTTTCCGCATTTCTACACAACTCCAGAATCACCTGAGGGAACACAGAAGCACGTCCATTAATCCTTCCAATCTGGCTCAGATTTCTACACATTTGCATCCACTGACTCACTTTGGCTCGCAGTCGAAGCAGTAATTTGCCTCGTTGCTTTGCATCGAGCAGATCTGGGACCGTGTCCGTCACCAGCGTCACGAAGTCGCAGAGCACTCCGTAGCCAAGGACGTCTCTGCGCTGCGCCACCTGCCACATGGCTGCAGAGAGCAGCCTGAGGGGAGGGATCAGCAGCCGGAGGGATGACAGCGGCAGAAAAACATCTGTTCCAAAGCAGAGAAATGATCGCCAGTCATGATAGTTAAGAATTTATATGCAAGGTTAAGGTACAAAGAGAAGACCTAGAATTGAACTTTGTCTAAAGTCCAAACATTTATCAGAATCGAGTTTATTGCCAAGGATGTTTGCACTTACAAGGAATTTGACTTGGTCTTGATAGTGCAGACAAATTAGACATATATACAGAATACAGAATCTATAGCATTTTACAATATAAAACATACAATATATAATATAAATCTATAGATATATAGGGGAGTGGTGGCCTAGTGGTAAGGGTATAGAGCTTGGAATCCTGAGGTTTTGAGTTCAAGCCTCACACATTTGAGTTTATGTGCAAGTCCATTTCTCCTCGTGCATGCTCTATTTAAAGGTTGCATTCTGCATCGCTCATACAAGCTTACTTTCCAGGATTTACAATTTTTCCACTATGTCGAACTCACCACTGGTAAGTAAAAATGGGGACGAGCACATAGGGCGGCCTTACACAAAAACATATCACCAGAATGATTGACAATTAGGAGGAGCACTTATTTAGATGATCCACCCGGAAAAAGAACATCCTCCACTATACCTTTAAGAGAGTATCATGAAAATAAGGTGGTTATCAAGAAAAGATCAAAGCTGAAGTGTAAATCCAGGGTGAAATTAACCAAGAAACACGTTGATCAGGCAAGAAAGTTAATGCATCGAAAAGACAAGGCAAGAAAGTGGAGTTAATTGGCCTTCAATGTTGCATGGTTTCTAGGGCCTAATTAGCTTGGATAAATATTTCAGAATATATCAATTTGCTAGGAGTTTTATTAACAACCATTACTCTAGTCCAGAGGTCACGGATAAGCGGACTGCGGTCCAGATCCGGACCCACCTGCTGCTAATCCGGATCCAACCTGATTTAAAACATTTATAAATTACCGCATGACAACATTGTCTAAATTCACTTGCGCCGCTTTGCCTGTTAATATGACGCACAAATGAGCACCTTGATATGTGCTTTAGAATGGCTTTGTCACCATTTAAACCCAGGTTTAAAAACCTTGCAGGGCAGCCTAAAGCCCACTGCTCTCATTAAGACATAAAAAACAATCAGTTGTGTTATATAAAATATGTCAATCAGGAAATTGTCTACACTTTAGATTTTAAAATGGAAAAATTTTCTATTTATTTATTCTTTTTTTTTATTTAAAAATTAAATGTATAACATGGATGCATAAAACCTCATTTTATTTCAGTGTTAAATTCTGTTTAAAGTAACAGATTATAATTAAAAAATGTCCCCAGACCTTTACTGGTTGTTCATTTTCTTTATTCAGACCTCACTGATTTTTATTAGGTGACCCTTGGTCTAGTCTAAAGAGGATCCTTTGGAAAGAGAGAGAAGAGACAGATATGGCTTCCGGATAATCATGGAAAGAAAATAAGACCATTCAAAAAAAAAAAAAAAAAAAAACACCCAAAAATCTTAAAGGAGATGATCTACAGCAAAGGACAAAAGAACAAAGGAACTTGGCCTGGTCCAATGGATTTTAATTTTATATGGAAATAAATCTATATCTCCCTACTTTGATTTCCTCATAATTATCCAGAGGTGAAAAACAGTGAAATTAAGCAAATAGTGTAGGAATTTTGACTTGTTTCAGCCACAGGCAGCTTTTCTGCTTCATTTTCCTCTTTCCTCCACCTGCTTTCAGATTGATGTCACACCACCCTGGTAAGAGCAGAGGGATTTATGACGTCAAGACGTATAAAATAAATACAGGACCTCTATGGTTTATGGCAAGCCTATTTAACATAAATTCGGTTTCCCCTGACCGTCCACAATTACGTTCCAGATATCTTAAGATACATTTTGACTAGACAAAACCACATTTTGACTATCCGGAATGGTAATTTAAGATATCTGTATTTACATTCTGATTAGGAAGAATAATGATTCAAGATATCTTGCCTAGCCAAAATTCCTTTCAAGATATCTCAAATTACAACACCGGATTTGTCATTTAAGCGTCACACACTGATTTCACTTTTCCTCCCTTGGATTAAACTGACAGTAAGAAACTTTTTAGGAATCATCCTCCTGGAAGCCCATTAAAAAGATCATGCCACATTTTGACTAGTCAAAATATAATTAGAGATATCTAAAATCGCTTAAACGTCTAGTCATATAACAATTTGAGATATCTTGAAGGCGGTACAAGCGAATTTTTGTTAAAATGGCTTGCCATAAACTGTAGCTCTTCCTTTTTCTCACATTCTGGTTTCCTTTCAGCCCGGGTGAAAACAGATAAACATTAGCTAAATTAAAATAACAGAGTTTTGCTTTTAAAATATGTGCTTAATCAGCAAACTGTTGATAATGTACTATTTAAATCTATATTGTGGACCGAAGACCGGAGTGAAATGGCTAACTTTTAGCTTTTTCTGTAAGTTCGATGGCAACACAGCAAAGGAAAATATTTTACAAACCGCTGTTTTCTATCTGGCAAGGCTTTTCCATAGTTTCACTCTAGAAAACTCGGTAAACCTCAGTAGCTTAGCATTCCATTAAACGGCTCTCCGAACCGGAAACAGTAAGCCACTGTACTTCAAAATAAAAGCCCCATTTTAGTGAGTAAAATTTTAGCGATCAAAAGCAAATTTTGAGCTGTTATCGACTTTAAAGCGAACAAAAGACTAAAAAAAAATGATTACAGTAAAAAAAAAAAAATTCTTTCCTTTATTTTTAGGCTCTGCTGGAAGCAAGCTGGTTAACAACTATCACTACTAGGCAACACTCTTGTGTAAATAAAACTACATCCCTATTGAGCTAAAGTTTACATATACACTATCAGACCTGGCTAATTAACTACCTAATTGGTTCATAATGCTATTAAAGTAAAAAGCAACATTTATCAGGTGTTTCATTACAAATACTGCAAATACATTTATTTTATAGATTTTATTCCATTTTAATATATTTTGGATTAAAAGTCTTGGATAGAAGAAGTAAAGTACAATAGGCTGGAAGGAAGAACACTTTATTTGTGCATGAATAGTCCATGTGCAAATTGCTAACTCTTTGCATGGAGTTTCCCCCACATCAACACACTGCTTCTAATGTTTCGTGTTTCTTTGCTCCTGTTTACATTGGTCTCAACAACAGTTTAGCTTATGGCTTACTCTGACAAACCACATACTTCCTGTAGCTCATCTGTTCTTCCCAGATAAAAAAAAGACATTATTAGTTAACATTTATAGAGATGACAGAGACATCTAAAAATCATTTGCAAACATGTTTTTTCAGAGTCTTGGAGATTGTAGTCATTCAAGGGGTTTTTAGTTCCCAGTAGCACACAAATACTTCAATTTTCCTCTCCATGGCTTCGACAAAAGGAATCCGCTTGAATAGTTAGTGTGCAGCTTCTGGCTGAAGTCTGATATGAAGTCAGGATGCATTTCCCATGAAATGTTAGCACCTTTGGAGCGAGCTGTGGGCAGCTGCCGCATGGTTCAATTCAGTCAAAGCTGGGTTAGCCTTCTCACAGCGTGGTAAGAGCAGCACTCCACATCCTTAGCAGCCAGTCCAAGGGGTCCATCCTGGAACAAGAAAGTCAGTGAATTATGTTGTGTTTAGTCTCCCACCTCCATTAAAAGCTGTTTGGCATCAGCAAAGACAAATTGGAACGTTTAAAAAAATATTTGTATTACTTCATTACATCTATATGAGCAGATCTCACCATTAATATGGAGCATACTGTCTATTTTAATATTAGGGAGTTAAGATTCCATCACTGATTTGGGAAAAGGATGCTACTGCTTAAGATGGAAACATATAATCGATTTACAGTTAACTGTTAATAATTTATCAGATTAGAATTTGTTCCATATGATTAACTGATAATGTGAAAGTGGGAGCAAGTTTGTGCGACAACGGAGGGACATGAGGGGGGAAAAAAAGAGCGATGATCCAGGTGGAAAAAGGTCATTTTGCACACTGGCGGTCATACAAACAAAACAAGTTGGTAAGGTACCAAACAGGAAATACGCATAGTGTAGAGCGGATGTAGATTTGAACAATCAGAGTCCGCCTGTCTACGGTCACCTACAATTTCAGGGAGGTGCACCAGAGTGTCTGCGGAAGGGGCGGGGGAACATTTGCGTTCACGCAGACGGCCTGGTTTCTGAGTATAAATCAGCCTTTAGACGGAATTTCTTTCAGTGTCAAGTTATGACTGTCCAGTAGAGGGCAGCATTCAGGATTCTTAAGTGGAACCTTAATAGTATTGATGGATTGATTGAATTTATTGATCTCACAGTGGAGAAATATACTGATTGCATCAGCTCTAATAGTCAAAGGAGAAGAAGAAGGTGCCAAAGGGAGAAAAAGGTGCATGGGATATATACAGTATATACAGTATATGACAGGGTATCAAATATTAATTGCACGTTATACATTGCACAAGTTATTACCATTATAGTGTCAGAGGTTGCAAGATAAGTAATGCTAGTGCAGAAACATGAATCGATCAGGAGTCCAGTTTGGGATTACTTAATAGTGACAAGGATACAGAATGAAATTTATGTGGTTCTAATTGTAAATATAAAAACATAAGATAGAATCCTTCAGTTATCATCTAAATATAGCCCATTAAATGTGCTGAATGGAGGAGAAGCATAACTTCTCTGCTGTTTGGAAAGACAGGATGAGATTATTGAAAAAGACATGCTAGCAATTAGCAAATAGAAAGAAAAGGCTTTTGCTATTTCCAGCACTTCATGGACACAAGTTCTAATTTTTTATAAAGTAGCTAAACCACCTCTACTAAAAGCCCTGTACGCTAGATACACCTTTTTTTCACAAAATGGACGCTTGGTAATTAATCATTAGTTGATCATGAGATCAATTTGCTTTAGATAATTCATTAATCAATAACTTGCTTTTGTAGTTACTGCCCAATAAATATGGGGAGTAATAAGTTAATGTTTTCTTTAAGCTGATTATTGATCATTCTGGTGCTTTTTAAATATTTCTTCTTAAAAATGTAATATGACCCTCTGGCAGGATCTTTTTTAATCTTCAAGATAAAGTCAAAAGAAAAGCCAAAGATGCCAAATTGATACTGTAACACATTAGAAACTTTTGTATTTTTGACAAGGATAAAAAAAGAGAAACTTTTCTTTACTATGTTCCTTTGTTCAGCCTCTCTAGAAAATACAGTTTCCATCACAGAAGCATCTTACAGCTTTTGTACTTTATCTGAACTCATTTTAATACGTCGCCGATACCTAAACAGTGAACCTTAAGTTTCTATGATCAGGAGAAACAAAATAATAAAGAATTCCATCAGCACTTTCAGCATTTATATGACTTTGAAACAACCAGTTCTGCTTCCTCAGACTGATTAAACCATTGGATACGATAGATTAGAGTGATTTGATCTATATTAGATATAAAATCTACTAAAATTAAAAAAAATTCCTGTACAAAAACTTGATCTTTTGTTTCATACAAAAAAACTTTGAGATTATATCCGTTGTTAGACAGCACTGTATAAAGAACAAAAATTGATATGAAATACATTATGTTTGGCACTGATGCAAACTCTTTTCTTTGTGATTTGTTTATCAGTGATGGTCCAGGACTGAATCAAAAATGGCCTCTGTTAGTCAGGAAAGCCTTTTTTTTTAAAGAACATGGTGGAACAGCTGAGGTTTGCAAAGTTTTATCTAATTATCTGAAATTTCTGCTTCATATTTGAGACCACAGCAAAGGCAGGTAGTGTTTGGTAAAAAACAAGACGGATCCTATCAGTATAAAACATAGATCCACTGTCAAAGCATGGTGGGGGAGAAATTATTATCTGTTTTTTTTTTTTTTGCAGGTTAGGGAATTACTTTTGTAATGCAATGAAAGTAGTTCAGTGCTATATTGACACTGTAATAGACAAACAATATGTCTGGCGAGGGCACCATTAGCTCTGTTCTTTGGGTTAAGTGGGACGCCATCTGTATGATATGAAGCTTTGAACAAATTAGGTGTTAAATAAAACAATCATCCCAAACATTGATAAATAAAACTATCAAAATAGTAAAAGTCCGAATCTAAAACTGATGAAAATGCAGAGGCAGCGTCCAGGAAGCTGTGATAACGTCCCAGCTTTGGAATATATCGTGTATCTTTATACAGTTAAAATCAGATTAAATCTCTTTATAGCCTGATAGATGGTTTAATAATGAACTGATGGCGGATGTATCGCTGATTTCCAGAAAACACTGAAACGCATCATAGTGATCCGTGACTTGCTGCTTGTAACTAATGGCCGTTTGTTGCTCTACGTCAAAACCGGAGACGGATTTAACTGGAAAAGAGGATTTTAAAGCAAAAACACACCAGCGTGATAAAACAAAACTTTTTTTTCTATTACCAGTAACTGCTTCACATTAAATCCAAATCAACGTGATAACTTCCGTAGCCACCCAGTTAGCTAGAAACTTCTGCGCTCCCTCATACTTACCCCTTTAAGGGACGATGAAATATACAAAGAGGAATAAAGCGACGTCGAAAAGCACGAAGGCCCAGAAATCCATCCAGTAGGAGTGTTTCGGTAGGTTGACGGGAAGCCCGTTTGATTTAAACATGTTGTCAGCTGACGGAGTGACAGGAGTCGCGCTGGGACCCATCTTTGCAATGGACGGTTTCTAGGAGCTTCTTCTTCTTCTTCTTCTTCTTATGGATTCGTTGGAGGTTGGCATAAAAAATGTTCCCTCTACCGCCACCAACTGGTATAGACTGTAATTCAATTTCCAAGCGTGTATTTGATGTTTAATGAAATCAAATTGATCTTTTTTTTTTCTTAAAAAAAAAAAGCAACAATGTGGAAAAAAATATATGTTAATACATAAAATTATAATATATTATTATAACAGAATATAATAGTATATGAATAACATACTAGTGAAGAGTTAAAAGATAAACAATAAAATACTGCACTGTAAAATGTTTTATCAATATAAAACTGTGCACCTGGAGAATAAATAACCAATATACAGCTATGGGCATTTTTATAGTAATGGATAGATAAAGGATAAGATAGAAACTGTGCAAAATCAATATGAATGGAACAACTTATTGATGTTATTGGGAACAGTGGTGGTTATAAAGTCTTCCAGCTGCTGGGAGGAAGGATCTGTGATAACACTCCCTGAATTTGTCGTCTCTTCGAAAGAACATATTTATTTCCTCTCAGGGATGTGTCTGTAAAATTTGAACACTAGATGGCAGACAGAAATCACTGAATGCATCTTAACGAAAGTCTATTTTTTTTCTATTCCCTGATATCCCAATCTATAATTCTCCATATCAAATAGTTTATGTACATTTATCATGGGTATAAATGTCATTTATGGATTTATTTGAAATCCTTATTGTCTCACACATTAACATGCTTTCTGGAGAAAGAGGTTATAAACCCCCTAAAAAAGGAGCTTTCAACAAAAATAATACAGAATATTCATTGAGGCAAATTGCTTGAGTGACACCAAATACCATTTATTAGGGCTTTACAAAGACTACAAAATCCTCCAGATGAGTTAAATCACCGTCTCTGCATATTTACATGATATGTTACATACAAATGTACAAAATATAAAACATTTAAGGACAAATGTTTCACCCGGAAAGAAACAAAACATTCTGTCAAACCAGAGTAAATGCTATGGTCTCCAGCTGAGATGCAACTCTAAAGTGTAAAGTGGAAAAAAATGACCAGTTGCTTGTCAACACAATGGTGTACACTGTTAATGGTGTCAAAGTGCTGTTATCTTGGGAGCTAATGGCCTATAACAGGAGCGTACATAGGTTCTGATACATGGGTGTAGGTCTAGGTAGACAGCAACCTGTAAACACAGTCATTTCACCCTTGGCATGCAACTACACCATCTGGTTAGCAACCATCCGAGGCTGGGCTGCAGAGACACGTGTGAAGCTGAGTACAGGTAGGATTGTAGAGGTTTGCCTGAGGTTATGACAACAAGACTTGTTGGTCTCTGGTGGGCTTCTTACTGACCATTAGCACCTGTTAGATGTACAGTACGGTGTCGGGTCAACTTCTGTGCCTCAGACAGCTATGCAACCTAAGGTTGTGGTGAGTTAGGGCTAAAGTCACCAGAGAGGAAGTGGTTTTTAAAGGGATTGTACAGGATTCAAAGAGAAGTTCTAGGTACTTAATATCTTAGCCGCACTGGTTAACTTTATTTGGTATACACCCAGGTCAATGGTTTCCACTAGCTGAAGCTAATGGCCAATGATCTGTACAATCTTAACTGAAATAAACTGAAGTTTAAATGACTGTTGTGTTTTAAACTTGAAACCATCGTCATGTTAGCAGTGGGTGGTTAATTGCCCAAGAATCTGACTCTTTATAATGGAATCGCAGGTTGGCAGCAGTGCGCAACCAACAATCTTCCTGTGTGAAACAAGTGCTAAGAATGAAAGAAAAATTTCCACTTTAGGGGTTTAAAAACACAGCAAGACCCAAGGACTTTGTCTGTATACTAAAAATGGCAAGAGAATGACGTTCTTAGTCTCCAAAATGTGACAACTCCCAAACCAGGTCTCTGGAAGTAAAACTACTGCTTTTGGTCAATGTGGAAGCTGCTTATTGGGTTTTTACACTCTCAATTAGTCCCTTTGACAAAAAAACAACAAATTCACTTTGCCTACACTAAGTTTTTACACACAACGATCCTTGTGGGTGTCTCCAGGTAAATTACCTTCCCATTGTTCCCAAAACGGCTGCGGGACCTTTTGCCTTTTCGCCAATTCTGTTTTCTCACAAAATTCTTTGTAATGTATTAGACTTATAGATTGTTGTCGTCAAATAAGGCATCAAAGTTCGCTAGTATGGCATAGACGAGACATCTTGGGAGAAAAACAGCTTAAACCCAAAAGATACAAAGTGACACAATGACGTTCCGTGAGACTGGAGTTGTTTTGAGAAGGTAAGAGTTTTTTTTTGGCCTTTGCTTTTCTCAGACTAGCCATTAACTTTAGCCACTTGGACCAACTAGTCTGGATTTATACCAAATAAAGATGACAAGAGAGTTATCTACTGGAGGTAATAATTAACCGCTTGTAATTCTTTAACAGAACCTCACTTTAAAAATCCCAAACAATCCCTTTAAGAAACATCGTGCATTTCTAAAGACAGCGGGGATTAAGAGTATTTCATGGTAGAATAAGGAGTATTGGACAGGTGCCTACATTTTTTTCAGTTTAGTGAGTTCAAACAGTTTTATTACTATACAGCTAATGCCTCCTGCATAGGCAAAACATCAAATCACCACAAGACACAGACGTGTTTCTGACAGCGGGTTGAGTTTTTGCATCTTTTTATCTCTGTTTTTCATAGTACGGCAATATCGTCAGCGGGTTTTGCATTTTGTAACACCAACCGGCCAAAATGCGTCTTTGATTCAATGTGCAAGAATTATATAAGTATTTACAGCCCACCCGATCCTTAAAGTGTGCAAAACCGACCCAGTTAAACAAAAAGAGGACAATCAAAATTCAAAATGGCTTCTTCCATCCAGTACGCGCGTTCATCAAGGTGAAGATCCCTCCTCAAAGCGCCCCTCACCCACTTTTTTTTTTTTAAAAGCTTCAAAAACATGCTCATCAAGCTAAAAAACAAACAAACAAAAACAGTTTGGTTGTGCTCCTTTTAATTCAAGTTAACCCAGCTCAACTGGGTGCAAAACAACTAAAACATACCCCCCCCCCCCTTTTTTTTGTTTCTTTATTTAATATAGTTCTGATTTTGAACTAGAATACAGCGTCTCTTCGTTTCTTACTATCAGACAGAAGCAATGGTGCTTCAGAGGAAGAAGATGGAGCCGCAAGCAGTAATGGCTGCTTCTTGTTCAAGCAGCATCTTTGACGAAAGGTGGAAGCAGGGTAGCATGAGGCGACATTAAATATACCGTTGTCTTAGATGGAGTGAAATATGCTTTAAGAAACTTTGAACATTTAAGGCAGTTCGAAAGCACCAATATTATTGTTCCCTTTTACTGCTCTTGGCTGATCTAATTAAACTGTAATAAGACAACAGTTTTAATTGGTTTTCAGACAAAGATGAAAGCAGGTATTTCACAGGCAGAATTATCTTAATGGAGAGGCTGGGTTATTCTATTAAGTACTCTTCATTTTGTTGTCTAGAGTCAGTAGACATTCACCGCTGTTGATTAAAGCTGAAGACCCACTCAGGTTGTGTTGTTTGGAAGGTGAGGGACTTTGAGTGGACAACCATGGTGGGCTTTGTTTTGAGGTGTGGACACTTGGCAGTCGGATCAAAGGGAAACTATTGGCACACTCTTCCAGCAGGATGGCCGGGGGACATGCAGCTAAAACACTTTCATTGTGCTTGTTGTTGGCATTTGGAACAGCTTGGCAGTGGCTGACACTGAAAGGTTTCAGGCCAGCGGACCCAGCACCACGAGGTTTAAAGAAATGTTGGCCGATTAAGTTTAGAGCTGGTCCGAGGTATAAAGAGGGAATGGGGCTCTGTAGGGTCCCCCTACTGGCCTGGAGTACCGAAAACTGCTAGGTGCAAATATTGTATTCAAAATTGAGATCAATAGTTTTTAATAAAACATTGATAACATTTAAAAAAGTAACCGAAGTCAACTTTGCCTCTAACCCAGAGCTGAATGATGAGCTGTTGATAAATGTTAATGGTCCTAAATCCTCTAAAATGTTAAAATAAAAACCTGTTCTTATGAGTTAATGTCTTTTTAATGAGCTGGTGCTGCACCCTGCCCAAGCTACTCCTGCACACGGACAGTCAGCTGGCTGAAACAAGGCTAATACCCTATGCCTTGGATAAGAAAAAAAAGAAATGTGGCTGCTTAGAACTTGGAACTTCACAGTGTGGAAAAACTAACCGAGGATCCATCATCCCTTTTGTTCATGTTATGTTGTTTTAAAAATATATTTTATAAGATAGGATTTGCAGGCAGTAACCAGCCTACTAATATCACCTAGTTAGCCTCCTGGTAATGAATATATTCTATGCAATAGGAAACTAAAAAGGATTTAAAGGTTGAAAATATAAAATAGACATTAGATCTGCTGTGGTGGCTACTGGGAACTGAGTTTAACAGGAAGTGGACCCCAAAAAATAAAATAAAATTATTCTCCATACATCCCTGGGCCAGCTCCTGGTCTTTAATAAATATTAATTATTATTATTATTATTATTATATATAATGTAGGCAAATTCTGATCCTATTTGAATTGTAAAGCCCCAGAATTCTCCCATATGGTGCCAAAAATAATAGGAGAATAAAATATATAAAGTATTTTTGTGCAAATCGCCAGACGTTATCAGGTGTTTGAAGTCCCAGGAATCACTACACCTGCCCTTTATGCCTCCCTTTTAAACCAAAGATCTCCTGAAACATTAAAGAAAAAGAGACTCTGGCACGTTTGATAGTGATCAACCAAGAGACTGAATGGATACAATGCTTTGATCAAAAGATGATTTCCTCTCTGCTTCCTCTGTGTGTATGTATGTGCGTGTCTGTAAGAAGCACCTCTGTAACAAAGAAACAGCCCTAATAATGTAAACATACGTGGATTTAACTGGGTAAAAAGAAAAATCCAGTTTTTTTAGTTATTTTCGTAACACTTTGGACATTTTCCTCTATAAGTAAACCAAAGGAAATGTGTCTTGTTAGAAAAAAACCCCACCAGAGGTACTGATATTTCACATCAGGAACGCATAAGAACTGTTTTATAAAATGTCCAAAAAAAAGAGGAGGACAGTGCTTTTGGATTAAAGTAAGGTTCTGAAAACATAAAAAAAAACATTCTGGTTTATATTGCACCATCAAAATATAGGCCTTTTCTTTCAATTTGAGCGAACATTTTGGGTATTAAAACTTTCCATATATTATATATCTCTAGAGTGCGGGTTCTGTGATGGACTAGCGATCTGAACAGGTTGCACACTTGCTCTCGCAGGAAGGGAAGGTTGAACTATTGTGGCGGAGGGGTGAGAAGGTGGTGGGGGTTTGTTAGTCTTTGGGGTTCAAAGGTTCTCCAGGGTTTAGAGGTGGAAAGGGATCCAGGTCTGCCATCGTGGGTCATGGGCTCATAGAGCCGACTCCAAGGAGGAGTCCAGCTGGTCGTCATGGTGACTGGTGCTGTCACTGTCACAGCTCTGGGTGCTGGAGTAGTTCGCCGCTTCCTGCAGCCGCAGCAGCATGTTCATCTGTGAACATCAATCAATCAGTCAGTAAATAAATACATGGATAGTTATTAAACCAGGATGCCTAATTGCCGGTTTACAGCATATAATATATTAGAGATGCACCAATCCCTTTTTTCTGATCCAATCCTATACCTGGATATCTGGACTGAGAATATCAGCCACTATCCCATAACGATACGATTCAACTGTTAAATTAATGAATTACATCTTTCCATGTGAGTGAAGACTTTAAACAACTGTTAAAAAAGGTAGCAACTTAACAAAGATATAAATGTGCTTTATAATATTTACTTACAAATAAGCAGCAAAAAGAAAGAAATAACAGTTCCATGCAAAGTGCAGAGGATTGGATCTCCGATATTAGATATTAAGTAACCGATATCTGTTCCAGCTAGATAGTCAATATCAGATCCAAGTATCCGATCGGTGCATCTCTAATATTTATGAAAGCGTGTTAACTAAAATCTCTATTGATCAATCTTTAAATAAATTGTGCCTTAAAATATACATATTTATTGAACCACTTTGACTTTCTTTATCAAAGGACAGAATAAAAGTCAGCTGCAGATCACCTTTAAAATTCAAATCACTATAAATGTCTTCTCAGTAGCCAGAATTATTAAAGTAAGGGATACAATAAATTCCTGATACCTTTGGTATATGGCAATGAATAGTATTTTATGTATTATTTCAAATAAAAAACAATAATTATTTATACATTTTCAGATAAAACAATTTTTATTTGTTTAATGCATATATCACATGAAACATTTATACTATCATATTGAAAAATATAAATATATAAATGTTTCCACTTTTTAATACATCGACATTGTGGCACTTTTGGCCTTCCATAGTCAAAACTGATGCAGCTGCAACTGATCCTTTTCATTCTGCGATATGTTTCAATATGAGTACAAAATGTTTTGGTCAAATCTTCCTTTAAGCAGTGGAGCTTTGTAGCCTTGTCTATTTATTCACGTCCACCAGAGTAAATTTAGAAACAGCGCAGCCTTTTAACGATACCTGTCGGAGTGATCCCTGACAGAAACTGCTATGTTTATTAGCGCCATCAGGGCGCCGATGACAGACTGTACAGATGGTGACTGTATTTGCTATTTTTCTAATTTGTTTTCAAGCTTAGAAACCAATAAATGGCGACATTTTTAAAGTCACCAAACCTGATCTTCAAAATCCAACATGGCTGTCACTTATATTATGCCCTAATAAGTCGTCAAGTTTCACTTGTACTCGTTTTGTGTTAAATAAAGTAATATAAACCAATAAAAACAGATTTTCTTAATTGAAAAACCATGCTTTACAATATTTACATTAAAAAATACTGCTACTAATTAGATTTTTCCTCACATATGAGGGCAAAGATTCGCCACCTCATAAACTCCATCACTGTTTGTTGTGCACTTTGTGAACTCTGCAATCAATTACCTCTATAAACCAGCCAAACTTTTCCTCCCTGCTGCAGAGCTAATGATCTAAATAATGCAGAAGCACTGCCGCATCTGGTGAATTGCTTCCAGTGTTCCTGAAATGGGTTTTGGCTCCACCGCATAATAACTGCAAGCACATACACACCCAGGCTCTCTTGTTAAATCAAGCCAGCCGGTTTTGGATGGCTACCCTTTAATTCCTCTTGGGCTGCAGTAATCATGAATTCTCTTTCCACTTACTTGCCTTCTTTTAGCCGTGTTTTAATTTACTTAAAGGGCTAGCTGTTCATACTGCCGTCTTCCTTCTAGATTTGCTCCCGTTGTTAATACATGAGGTGAGAACGGTCCTCACCAGCGGGTCTCCCTCTGTGTCGCTCTGAGACACCTGCTTGGATGACGTCCCCTCCTTGGACGAGCTGTAGCCGTCATATCCCACATCCTCCGGCCTCAGCTGGAGCAGCGACTGGCCTTCCTGTTGCAGAGCGGCGGCGTTCCACGGATATGTGTCATTCACCCACTTGGACGGATCCTCCCACACTGCTCGCTTCCCATACAGCTAAAGACCCAGAGAGGAAAAGAGATGCATGCATGACATTATTTAACTCTGAATGCCTTCCTTAGAAACGTGCAAACATGGCAACAAAAAATGCAAAAAGTCATTTTTGTAGATTGTTAAGGGTCGTTACATTTGTAATAAATGGAGCTGAACATGTTGTGATTGATCCAGCAAATTCAAAGTATCATTGTGTACCTGTAATCCTTCTCTGACAGCCTCTAGCAGGTATGGTACCAGGGAGTAGTTCCACAAGTCAGTGAACCAAACCCGAGAACCTTCTACATCCATGGGACAAGACAGGAAGAGACGAGGCCCTGCGGTGTGCAAAGAAGCACCCATCAAACAGAGAAGACACCATAAACCCAAACGGCATGTTTTTGTTTTATCTGGACTGACCTATGGTGACATCAGAGGAGCTGTGCGCCTCCAGGAAGCCGTTGAGGTGCTGCCAGGTTTTGGGGATCCAGTCGATGATTTTGATCAGGTCGTTGCTGCGCGTGTTCTTATCTAGCTCCGTCTCAATGAGCTTCCGGCGCAGGAAGCGACCCAGGAAACCTTTGACTGGCTCCGTGTGGTTGGTGCACAGGACCCACCTACAGAACGACAGACGCACCCTTATTAATATCTGCTCATTTTTTTTATCATTTACAGTTTTTCATTTTAATAGTTAAAATGCCATCACGTTTCTTTTATCTACTTCTTTAGATAAGGCAATGACTACAGATTAAATGACTTGGTTTTTCCATTTGGTTTGAAGGGCATTCACTGAGCGACTGCAAAGCCTCATAATACATCGTCGTCCACATAAGGTCATCCCGCAGGAACGTCTTAATGGATGTACTGCTATTTAGTAAGTTATTATTACATTAAAATGTCAGTTAGTTATGAGGATGTTGCTTCCAGCTGTGTTTAAGCGCACAATAGGAACAACCACCTCAATAGAGGGCAAAAACATTTTGTTCATATTTATTGTTTCCTTCAAGTTTTTCTGATGCAATACGTCAAAAAAACATTTAAAAAAAAGCTTATTGAAATGCTGGATTTCCTTAGCCTAGTAAACTAGCCCCGCCCGCCAGTGGCCAAAATTATTTTTGCCTGCGATTGGTCTAGCCTCGATTGATGCCCCAGGCCCTAGAACTGGCGAACCAATCACAATGCAGAGATGGGTTTTGAATTTTTTGATGCAAAGCGGGCAGGGTTTTGAGGGTGTGACGACAAAGCTGCGTGACACGGCAGAAAGCACAAGGAAGAAGGCAACAACTATTGAACAGTTCTCATTTGACTTGGCTTTGGAATCAGTTTTGGAAGGATGACACTTGGGGTTTTCATTGAAACGTGAGCAGGAAGAGGCTCTACGCTCATTCATTTTTAAGAAGGACATATTTGCTGTTTCGTGCTTACGTCACAGTCAGTTGCGCTCATTGGTCAGAGCATTGGCCAATAGGCACAGACATGGTTTGAAAAACGACGGTTTGTTCCCATCAACAATCTTCTGATGTCTCATTCATCGGGGCCAGGCTAAATTATACATTTAATCTCACATTTAGTCTGGTTTATCAGGCAAATATTTTCTGTTTGTATGGAAGATCTGTTTCAATATGGTTTGTCGTTTGTTTGGCTCCCTCTAGTAGAAAGTTTGCTGCTGTTTCTAATATTTTAATTATCTTATTTTTGTGATATTAGAAATTTTCTGTTGCTTCTGTTGATTTTGGAGTTTGGATCACACACTCTTTTGCAGCTTGTTCTGTCATTTACTATTGTGTTCGCAGAGAAAGGAGTCAGACAAGCTGAATTAAACAGATGAAGGCTTCAAACCTGAAGTTGTGATGAAGCTCCAGGTTTGGAGAGGAGGAGACCCCTTGGCTCATGGTCCCGATGACATAAGGGCTGAACAGGGGGAGGAAAAAAACATGGTTATTTCAAGCTAGAGCTTCACTGATACAAATATACACATTCACATTTTCTTATGCTCTTATTTTATTCACATTTAGCTTGTCAGACTTATACTGTGCTGCTGCCCTTAGAGGTGGATTTCTCACATCAGGCGGTATAAAGGAAACTGATCTGATCTGAGTCGACTTGGCTGAGGCTGTTGCCACCAGTCCAGCTTGTCCCTTCAAGGTGTTTCACTTTCTTCCTCACCATTTATGGTACTTGCAGTTGAGGAAGCCGTTGAATATGTCGCTGAGAGAGCCGATGTGGTGGAGGTTGTCCAGGATGACCACAGTAGGCAGCTCTGCGTCTGTCCGCTCAGAGTTACACCGCTCTGCTAGGTTGGACAGGTACCGACGGAGGTCCTGTGGAAGAGGAAGTCCAGCTTTTGAGCAATAAAGCATCTATGAGATAGACTAAAAACTCATATTTCTGGAGGGATTTTATGTGAGCAGCACCAAATAGCAAAGAAGTGTGAGGTGGAAGTGAAAGGAAAAACTAAAACCTCCGAAAGTTGACAAAAGGTTTGTTTTATTCAGTCCACAGAACTTCCAAACTCAATAACATATGGTAACTTTAGATATATAAGTAAATAGGAAGGAAGGAAGGAAGGAAGGAAGGAAGGAAGGAAGGAAGGAAGGAA